TAAAAATAAAAACTTTTTGTTACTCTCACATTTTAATCAAGAGAAACCTGTCAACTTAACAATTGTCGCAAGTAAAATAATGTTGTAGGTGCTTATATTAGCCACATTTTACAGGATTGCTCTGAGAGACCCAAAGCATTTGAGTCACGATTGTTTAATTCAGCAGAGATTAAATATAGTCAAATAGAAAAAGATGCTTTGGCAATAATTTTTGGGTTGCAAAAGTTTTTTCCAATATCTGTATGGTAGAAAATGTGTATTGTTCACGGACTATAAACACGTGTGGAGTATATTTAATCCTAAAAAGGGTCTACCAATTTTTGCTGCGAAGCGATTGCGGAGATGGACGAGTATTCTCTCAGCTTTTGATAATGATATACACTTTGTCAAATTAAGTAACAACTATGCAGATTTTTTATCACGTCTTCCGGATATCCAAACAGAAAATACTACACACAGGACAGAAAAATGTCGTACTCATATTATAGTAAGTATTCCGACAAAATTTCATATTTACATCTCAGTCGATTTTTCCTATAGATTTTACCGAAATAAAAAAAGCTAGTGAAATAGATCCTATTTTAAGTAAGCAACGGATGGCCCTCAAAATATCAAATAACCGAATATCAACCATTTTTTCATAAAAAGAAGGATTCGTCAATTGAACAAAATTTTTTTCTTCGGGGCTACAGTTTAGTCAAATTACCCAAATTTAGATGTCATTCTGCTCATGTGGGAATTGTAAAAATGAAAGCTCTGGCACGTTTATATGTAGGCGCCCTTTTATCTATAGAGACATTGAGTTTTTAACAAAGAAATGCAAAATTTTTAGATTCCCCTCCTAAAACTCTTCTAACAGTTTGTAATTGGCCAAAAGACGTGTGGACTAGGCTTCACGCAGATTTTTCGGAACTTGCTGTAGCACAAACTTTTTTTGCTATCAAAGATTCTACTTCCAAATGGTTAGAATGTTTTGAAGTTAGAAACATGACTGCTAGTAATACAATTAAAATGTTCAGAGGTTTATTTGCCAGATATGGCTTGCGAAAACAAATATGTACAATGTCGTAACTTTCACCTCAGATGAATTCACGATATAAATTTAATTATTAATCATTTTGTTTTCCAATATCGGAACACTTCTCACTTCTCACTACAAGAAAAAAATCTTCAATATTGCTTATAGGGAAAAGTTTACCTTGGAAATTCGATTTTTCGTTATCTTCAGTTAAAAATGTAGATAAAAATCAAGAAAAACATAAGACAAATTTTAATTACGAAGGTAGGTTTAAAAGAATTTTAATATTAAGGACGAAGTTTGGGTCAAAGATTATAGGCCAAATACGGCACAATGGTGTGAAGAAGCAATTAGAAAATTTTGGGTAAAAAAACTTATTTGGTAAATATTTGTAAAGGCGGAATGTTGTGGAAAAGTCACGCAAATCAACTAAAATTTAAAATTGAAGATATTTCGGAAAATACTTCTGTCAATCTCCAAACCATTCAACTTCCTAATATGGATAAAACATGTCGAAAATGCGATAAGTGAAAATACGGTAGAAGAAACGCGGAAATGGAAAATTTTTAAAATACAATTTGAAAATTGTAAGTGCGCGAAGTGAAATATGGGATACGCAACATGATAATCTAGAAAGAGTTTTGCGCAGGCGTAATCAAATTAGATCGCCAGAAATTTACAACTATATACTTTTGAATGTTATAAATATTCATTGTAAGTAATTTTAAGGTAAATGTTGTAAGTGGAGAGGTGTTATATGTGCGTTGTGGCCTGAAGATGGGCCTGTTTAATATTTCTTGGTATGGGTTTTTATATGGGACTTCATGATAAAACTGTACCAACAAAGTTCACATGTATGCTTTACAAGCCAGTTTGAATTCAGTAGTTAACGAATAAATATTAGAATAATGTAAAAGGCATTTTATTTATTAACTACCATAAGACAAAATATTATAGTCCCACTTGTCAGGCGCAGGAAAGATAGTTTCCACACATATATTTTTTTTAAACTGGCAAAAATATAAATATTGCTCTTTACACTTTATTTGTAACTATTTATTTGTACATTACTTTCTTGCACGTCCTTCGGGAGAGCCTGATTACGGGGTGGGTATTTATTTTTGTAAGGATTATTGTTGCAAAATTTAAGAAAGGAACATTAGATGTTAAAGATAAGCACCGCTCTGAAAGGCCAATTTCTGTGATGACTCTGGAAAACATCGATTTTTTTTCCATCATAATATGATTTTCTCAGATCAATGAATTGTATAACAGAAGCATATATTTCCCAAGAACATGTGTATCACATCGTTAATCAGGACTTGAATATAAGAAATCTTTCTACCAAATGGATTCCGAAATGCCTGAATGTTGGCAACGTTAAAGGAAATTTGAAGACAATTCGTCAAACCTTTCGGATCAGTTTGTTACTATAGACGAAACATGAGTCCGTTACTAGGGACGAAACATGTGTTCATCACTTTGACCCAGAAACTAAAGAGCAAACCAAATAGTTGAAGCATTTTGGTTCTCCACGATCAAACAAACTCCGAGTTCAAAAAAAGGTCAGGCAAGCTTTTGGTTTAACTCTTCTGAGATTATTTGGCAGTGGCTAAAACTATCACGAGAGAATATTACACTGAGCTGTTAATTATATTATGCAAGAAAATCGCGGAACACTTGCCAAAGGGGTCTCTTTTTACAATACACATCGTCGATACAATGTCCAAACCAGGAATGTTCATATTTTGCAGTTTTTATTCAAGTGCTTCATTAGACAAGTTAACCTTGAAAGTTATCAGTGCCAGAGTTATGAATGTGCCTCGGGAATCTAACCATCCTTTACGCCCATGTCTATTTTGAGAAAGTGGGAATTTAGCAATACATGAGGTCCAAATATTTGCACATTCGTGGTTTTGGCATTGTACCGACGACATGTTGATTGTGATGCAAAACATTTGTGAGACTGGTGTGAATTGGAGAGGATTGGTTTGCATACCAAAACAAATTTTTTTTTTTAATGCTTTAAAATTACCTTATGAACTTTGTGTAATAAATGTGTAAGTCTTAAAGATTATGTTGATTAAATAAAATTTTCTTTTTTTTTATATGGGAGGTAATACCATATCATTCTTGTAGAGGTGTTTAATCTTTCAAATTTGAAACTGCTGTTGCTATTTAATAGTATATTAGATTATTATGAGTTGTGAATATGATGCTTTTCACACGAGACGTAGTGGTATGAATTATTTTTCCTATGACCACAAGACAATTTTAATAAACAAATGTGAAAAACTGACTATGAAGATTCAATATAGATTTGGCTGGTTGGATTACGGAATTGGGGTTCGATTTGCGAAATATAAAAAAACTAAATATAGTTGTTTATTTGTTTTACAGATCATTTACTTCTACTTTGAATATAAATATTATAATAATCAAAATAGAAATGATGATCCTGACATATTTGACAGCTTATGCGGAAAGTAATTTCATATCCACACAAGTGACACGTATGACATAAGGCACTTTCCATAGGAATAAACAGTCGGTCACTTTTCCATATGATCGTAGAGGTTTTTCAACTATAATATAAAACTGCACTTTCTCTACTATTGTTGATTAAGAAATGAGGTACATTTCCTTATTTGATCATTCTAATAACACAAAAGAGTTATTAATAAATTATTTTAATAAAATCATGTGTATCATGAAATAATGTCAAACCAATTAACGAATAGCAGCCATAGAAAAAGAATAGTGTTCAACTTGCATGAAATGGTGATTTCCTTGCTCGTTAAACAATATAAAGAGTAATCCACAAAAAATATTTCTACAGTTAGGCATTCCAAACAAAATGTCTACCAGTGGGTTATGACAGGTTATGTATGGCAACCCTGTAGGCCTGGTGATTTTATAGGGTCAATGAAATAGATAGTTATATAGATTGATCATCCATGTTTTTCAAAATAGATATAAGCTTATACCTCAAAGTAAAAATGTAGGTAATTATTTTTTTTTTATTATATTCAAAGTCTAAAAATTGATTTGTAAACACATTTTTGCTAAACTGATTCTGATTAATGAGCTCCTGTGAGGCAATATGGCCACTCGCAAACGACCCGCTTTGAACAATCTATATAACTACACATACTTTGATTTTCTCTTACTATACGGAGAATGGTCACATTGCGCAGCTTTCTGAGTGCCTTTTAAAAGGAGATAGAAAACTCCGCCATTTTAATGCCTTATTACGTGTTGCCTACATCTTGGCGCAATATTTTTAATATTTTGCTTGCTGCTGTCAGTGAATATTATTTTTCGAGTCACAATTTATTGCTAAAGAATCAGTTAGCTCACTCGGACCAGTTGAATTTTCCAAAATAACATCCACTCCAGGGATACAAATTCAGGATGCGCAGAAGACTGCTAATTTATTATAGGCGGTTGTTATATATTGTATTAGCCGAGTTGCGCAGTGTATAAACTGGAACATTGAGATCAAAAGTGCCGACGCAGAGTGAGCGAACTGATTCTTTAGCAATAAACTGTGGTAAAGGCATCAAAATGGCCGCGCCCTATGTTGGGCGTGTCTCATTTATCTAAGGGCGTGTCGGACCTCTCTCTTGCACCGTATAGTAATCAAAGTATGTGATATAACTATGTATGTATCATTGATCCTGTCAATGACAACAGGCACAAACTGTCAGCATTTTGACAGGTTATTGGAATGCCTAATAGGCTATGACCGACAAAAATGGAAATACGAATCATATCCGTGATAGCTAAGCACGACTCCTAATTCAATTTAAACTGTCACCTAAAAAAGACGATTTGTGCGCACCGAAATTCGTGAAGTTATCCAACTGATTTAGAATTTTTTTTGTGGATCGCCCCATACTGTTATAGGTAATTGCTAAATATATAGGAAGGTTCATCAAATTTAATAAGTGAGTCATGTACTGCATAGCGATAAACCTACCAATAATTGTTGTTTTAATTTCTCAGTTTCCGATTCGGCCCAGCTTGCATCAGGCATTGGCAACATTTTATTTATAAAATTGTAGATTGTTGAAGTTGTATAGTCCCCTCCTACAGTGAAATGCTTGATAGTGTCAATTAAAGGACTTGCCTAAAAAAAAAAAAAAAAAAAAAATACTAAAAAATGTAAATGGCAACACTTGATGGATAAGAGTAATCATTTAAGTACAGTATTTTTTCTTCAGTTTTAATTATTGTAGTTTCTTTCTGAAATTCTGATTATCAATACTGCAAGTGTTTGAATGTTAAGTCATACATCACAAGTAGACAAAATCACGTACTTCTCCTGTTCGGTCAGTAATGTCCTTCATAAAATTGACTCCAGATTCTTGACTCATCCAATATTTCCATAATTTTCCCGCATATTTTGTACCTTCAAATTCCACTTCTTCTGGAGGAGTATTTGAAATTTCTTTAAAATGATTTACCGCGCTAAAAATGTCAGGTGAATTTATTAATTTGTCAACGAGTATAAGAAAGACGAAAATATAAATTGTTGCAAATAGATTTCTTAAGTTATTTGCTACGTATTAAAAACTGTTATATTTATTTTTATGTATAAAATTTTATTTCAACGGTTTTATTAACAATTACATATTGTTTTTTAATTGAATTAAAGTCAAGTAAATATGTAAAGATAAACCATATTTCAAAAATGTGACCCAGTGGTCAATCAAAAATCTAACTCAAAGTCGGAGTCAAAACTTGAATGAAGTGAAGAAGAATTTTAAAGATCTGGCAGCGATTAGTTTCAATCTTCGAAAATCATAGTTAGACATTTAGATAAAGATGAAACTTCATGCATAGTAAAATTAAAACAAAGGAAAATAATCAAAAACATTTAAGGTAGTACAAAAGAGAGTGGGTTTAACTTGGACGAAGGAAAAGAGCGATGTTAACACCATCAGCTCTCTAATTCTCTTCTCAAAACATGAAAACATTAATTCACCTGCCTTTGAAAATTTCATCTGTTAAGACTACTTAATGTGTGTTTTTGCAATTATTTTGTTTAGTTCTTGTGTGCTCCAAGTTAACACTTTTTTTGATGACAATTACCCACTTGTGGAGTCTGCAGTTGTACCAATGTAACTGTTCGAATTCCTAGTATTTTAAAAACGTGTTTATTTTATATATTGTATAGGCAACACCAACAATAAAGTCATATTTTTCAATACTTTTTTATTATCTTGAACTCGCCTACTATATATAAGAAAACGGGATCAAACCCCCAACAAATGATCCTTCGAAGCCGAATAAATAATTGAAATTCGGTGTCAATTATAAATCGGAAAAATTTCGTGTCTCGATATCTTTTTTGATAATTTAGTTTCGAGAGCGTTGAAATTTTATCTAAACTTCATCCAAAATTCGCTGAATTCGACTGTGGTTCCTGCCTTATAGAAAAACAAAATAGTTCTTCATCCAGTCTACAAAAAAGTGAGTTTGTTCCGTTTCTTACATACCTCAAATGTATTTACCTTTATTTTCTTGCGAATTCTGTTGTACTTTAAGCTGATAAGAATTGTTTTAAATATAGATAATACTTATTTGCACACTTTAATAAATCAGTTCAAAGTTGTAAAATTAATATCTTTTTTCAGTTTCATTATTCAATTATCAACTTTTTTCATTCATAATGTCTGAAACCGACAATATTGGGATCACAAAATTGCGCTAACTTTGAAAATCAATTAAATCTCGCCTCACACTTTTCACTAAATATGTTGATAATGTTTCTGCCGAAGTGATTGAAGTGTGGAAACTAGTTCATTTATAGAGTCTTTTACTGAGTTTCAAACCCGATTGGATCGAGCTGAGCTTATTCTTGCTCAATTTGAAGAAAATCAGGCTCAAATTGAGGTATTGATGGATAATGTACCAGATGCAGAACTAGATTACAGATCTACCTTTAAAAATCTTAATATTCAACACAGAATTGACGAAGTGAAAAAATTGCATAATGTTTTAACTATCTTTACAGTAGGCATCAAAGTTATGGTTGTAAATATGGTAAATGTAGAAGATGTGGCAGAAAACATACACGCTTACATGTTGATGTAAACTGCCCCTCATCAAATTTCGTCGAACAGTATGCCATCTAATTCAAACAATCAAGTAAATGTACGGTCGAGTAATATTAATCATCATATCATTTTATTAATAATTGTTATTGTTCAAATTCATGAAATTTCTGGAGTTGCACACACTTGTAGAGCCATTTTGGACAGTGGTACTCAGTCTAACTTTATTACTCATTATCTCGCTTTAAAGTTAGGCATTGTCAATCCTGATCTCTCAAAGTTTTGGGAACTAGATAAATGTTCCACAAGTCAGGTTCTTTCCAAGGAGGAGTTAGATTGCGATAATCATTTCGTATCGACCTATCTTAGAAATCCTGACGATAGGTTTGTTGTATAAATCCCTTTCAAATATCCCATTGAAATGTTGGGAGAATCCCAATCAAAGGCTGAAAAAAGATTTTATAGCCTCCAGCGTAAATTTCAAAATATTTATATCATATTGTTATAAGTAAAGGTACGAGTAAATGAAGAAGATAGAATATTCCCGAAATGTCATTTCTTGTCAAAGAAAAGTCCAGATTGTTCGAGAAGGGTCTAGAAGGTCGAGGCAAGCTATATAAGACGACGACCTGACGTCAGAGTTCAGTTTTATGATAGACGTTAAACGTTAATGTTATCAGTTGGAGTTATTGTATAATTGTTGTTGAAGTTTAGTTAAAATAAATTGTGATACCAAATCCAGCGTAACAATATCAACGGGTCACGTGTCAAAGGTTATTTGATTCTCCAATCAACTATTATTTACCCCATCATGGAGTATACAAAGATGATTCTCTAACAACTCGTCTTCGAGTGGTATTTGATGGACCTTGTGCTACTAGTTCTGGTGTTTCAATTAATGACGTGATGGTCGGGCCTGTAGTCCAAAATAATCTTCTGTCAATCCTTTTAAGATTCAGACGATATTCTTACGTTGTTTCAGCCGACATTGCTAAAATGTACCGTCAAATTCTGGTGTGTTTCTCTCAGAGACATCTACAACAGATCTTATGTAGATCTAAACCTTCAGATTCTGCTGACACATATTCTCTAAATACAGTAACTTAAGGAACTGCTGCTGCTGCCTTTTTGGCTACCAGGGGCACGATTGTCACAAGAATGATCTCAAATTTACCCACAATCTTCCAAAATGACTACAAACGATTTTTATGTCGACGATCTGCTAACAGGATCTGACTCCATCTTAGAACTTATTGTCCGTTGTCAAGAAATTAAACAGATTTTAAATGAAGGTTGTTTTCCTCTTTGAAAGTGGGTTTCCAATAATTCATCAGTGTTGGAAAGCATTCAAAGTTCGTCATCGGCTTCCGACATATTTTTCTCTTTGGGTTCAAATGAAAAGCACCAAGACATTGGGTCTTCGATGGTGTCTTAAATCGGATTTTCTATTATTTTCAATTCAACCAAAACGTTCTTCTAAAACAGTAAACAAACGATCCATCCTTTCGGACATAGCTCAAATATTCGATCCATTGGGCATTTTAGGTGCGTCTGTCATAAAGGTTAAAATGTTAATGCAACGACTGTGGTTAGAACAATTAGAGTAGGATCAATCTTTTCCTCTAGATATTCACACTCAATGGTTGTCCTTTAGAGATCAGCTTTATCAGTTAAATGATTTACGGATTTCTAGATACGTTATTATCAAAAATGCAGAAAATGTTGAATTTCATACCAGTGAATTTGCGTATGGCGCTGCAATATATTCGTACTATTGCACAAAATGGCGAAATCGCGGTAGATATACTATCTACCGTCTAGAACTTTGCTGAGCACTTATTCTGTCACGACTACCAAAAAAGATCTTGAAAGAGTAAAACCAAAATTGGTAGATTTTCACTTTTATTTTAAAAATATAAAAAATTTTAAAAAACACTAACATGACATATGTTTCGAAGTACAACTTCTTTTTCAAATTTGGTTTTACTCTTTCAAGATCAAATGGATTTTCATCAAGTAAAGGCTGAAACAATAAATAATACCAAAAAAGATCAATGATTCACCTGATGAACCTTTTAATATAAATTTATGGACAGATTCAACCATTGTTTTGGGATGGATCAGAATGTTTTGGGATGGATCAGAACCTCGGCACATCTTCTCAAAACGTTTGTAGGAAATATTTTATAAAATTAATTCCAATTCACAGGCTGAATTTTCGACATATGTCGGTACAAAGGAAAATCTTACTGACCTATTGTCACGTGGAATCGATCCAAACCTTCTTCATTAGTCAACTCTATGGTGGCACGATCCTTCTTTCTTAATAGAATCGTCTTCAAATTGGCCCAATTCCAATATTGTCTCAAGATAAGTTACCCGAGCTCAAGAAAAAGGTTTAATTCAATTGTTCTGGTTTAACGGAAAAATTTCAACATTAAAAGGGTTATCGCTTATTGTAAACGTCTTCATCTTAACTATCTAACTGCTAGTAGAGACCTTAGATCCTCTTACAACTAAATGACTTCAGAATTTAATTACTTGTATTATTAAAGTGGTACAAAAAATTATCTTCCGAATTAAAACATTTTAGTCAAAATCGACCCATTTCTTTAAAAAGTACAATTCTCTTATTAAATTCCTTTTTGGACGAAAATGGCATAATACGAGTCGGGGGAAGATTACGACATTCCATATTCAATTATGACAAAAAAAATCCCATTTTTCTACCTGCATATCATCATGTTACAACTCTTTTATTCAGAATAGAACATTAAAATCTTCTTCACGCCGGTCCTCAACATCTCGTCAGTGATCCGTGAAATATATTGACCCATTTCAGGTAAAACTACTGCAGAAAGGGTAGTTCGTGAATGTATACGTTGCTTTCTTGTAAATCCTACACAATTCACTCCGATGATGGGGAGGTATACTTTCTCCAAGAGTTATTCCTTTGTTTACCTTTGCCACAACTGGAGTGGACTACACTGGTTCATTCCTTCTTAAAACCAAACAAGGTAGAAATCCATGAATATACAAGGCATACGTCACCCTCTTAATCTGTTTGTCAACTAAAGCGGTTCACTTAGAGTTAGTCACAGGCATAAGTACCGAGTAATTTTTCCTGCTAATTTCATTGCAAAAAGAGGTACGGAACATATGTCAGATAATGGGACTAACTTTGTTGGTTGTTACAATGACATGAACGATTTAGAAAAATGTTTAAAATTAAATTATTGATTGTTACGTCAAAGATTAAATTAATTTGCAATTCATCGCAGCCCACGCTCCTCACTTTGACGGTATCTGAGAGGCAGGTGTAAAATCTATGAAAGCGCATCTTAAAAGAGTAATTTATGTTATAACATTTACATAACATGAAGATTTCTCAACTCAAGTGGAGACTACACT